GATAGGAAAATACTGCATCTTCTTTAAAAACAATTTGGCAGTTCCTCACAATGTTAAAATCTACAGTGATCTATGATCAGAAATTTTACTCTTAATTATAAACACAAGAGAAATACAACACATCTCCATGTAAAAATTATACTTAAATGTTTACAGTGGCATTATTTATAATAACCAAAGAACTCAAATATCCATTAAATGATAAAATGAAAACTAAAATGCCATCTGTCATGAAATGCAATACTATTTGGAAATATAAAGAAGTGAAGTAAGGATACATACTTCATGAATAAGCATTGAAAACACCATGTAAATGACAAATAAATTCAGTCACATAAGAATACATGTTATATGACTATGCAAAATGTCCAGACAAATCTATGGACAGAAATTAGATTAGTGATTGTCCAGAACTGGAGATATGTGGGTGGGAGGAATAGAGAGAAAATAATAATGGGTATTTGGTATCTTTTTGGAGTGATGAAAATATTCTAAAGTTGATTTTTATAATGGTTGCACAACCAATTAACATTAAACCTTAGCTGGGAGAAATGTATGGGAATTATATCTTCAAAAAGCTGCTCAAAAATAATTAGAAAGTTGTTAAAGAGGTGATGTATAAAACTGAAAGTTTCAAAGTTTTGCCTTATTTCTCCTGAATTCAGCGAGGAAAAACATACTGCTTGACATTAGTGTAGTTATGCTTCTTAATGTTGATAGGGAAATCGTTGAATAAAAATCATTAAATGTATAATTTCTAATCTGCTAGAAGGAAAAGAATTAAGTAATATTAGCAGCTTATTTGATGTGATAGAAAGCACAGGCACAGCAAAAGGATGACAACCATTTTTAAAACTGAGAAGATTGAGGAACAAATTACAGGTCAACAGTAGAAATAAATTCACCCCATTTACAATTTCCATTTACTTTCCCATCACTTAAAATTCAGATGTCCTCTGATTATTAAGACAAATAATATTTGAATATTTGTAGTATAAACAAAATAAATACAAAACAATAAAAATGTTTCAGGAAATAAAAAATGATGTATCTGGGAAATTGTAATGAAGGGAATTGTAATATAATGTGTATATATATTTGGTTCAACAAAATATACTTTAAACAAAAAGTATTCATAGGGACTAAAGAATTCAAAATGATTAAAACAATGCAATACCACTCTCAATAAATAATAAAACAAGAAGACTGAATAATCAAGGAAATAGGGAATAAAACACAAAAAAACTAGATCTAATAAGCAAACACAGAGCAAAATCTAATAAGCAAATATGTATGTAAGAATAACACAATGCACATCTTCCTAAAAGTTACTTTGGGCATTTTGCAGACTAGACCAAAATTAGGTCACAAATCAAATCCAAATAAATTTTAAAAGATAGATATCATACAAAATATCTGCTCTGCGACAGGATAAAGTTAAAAGTCAGTAACAGAAGGAAAACTAGGAAATTCAGAAAAGTGAAAATTAAATGACACACTCTCAAACAACCAATGGATCAAAGAAGAATTAACAAGGGAAATTATAAATATCAAAATGAAAATAAAAACATACCAAATCATAAAGTACACAGTGAAATCAGTGCTAAGAGGGAAACTGAGTGATAAAAGCTTACATGAAAACATTTTAAATCAACAATCTAGCTTCACAATCTAATGAACTAGAAACAGAGAAACTTAATCCAAAGCAAGCAGAGGAAAGAAATAATAAATATCAGATTAGAACATAGGTAATTTATATAGAGCGCAAGGGTGATAAGCAATCTTTGTGAGTGCTATCAGACATGAGATCAGAAGTAACACAGATAGCAAGGACTCAAAATGTCATCATAGCTCATTATTAAAGTTGGGGTATTAGGAAATGGAGGCATGGTACAAGTAACAAATTCTAGCAAAATTCTGGCTCATTTTGAGGCAAAAGTGTCTATGAATCCATTGAGTAGTAATTTCTTCAGTCATTAAATGATTAATTAGAATCCATAAACAAGATAGTTGGAATAACTACTATACCATATGGCTGGCCTATAGAGTAAAATTAATCAAAGTGGGAAAGACCTCAAAAACTACCCTCTTCTAACCTGCAGTATAGTTACAAGATTGTGACTACACCTAGTGGTATAGTAAAAATTACTGACGCCATTAAAAACCTATCGTATCTCCATTTAATTTGTTTCTTTAAAATAAATAATTCAGAGCTGGAGATTTAGCTCAGTGGTGCCACCGCCTGCCTCATAAGTGCAAGTTTCTGAGTTCGATCCCCCGAACCAAAAGTAAGTAAATAAATAAATAATTCAGACATTTAGATTCAGAAACACTTATTTTTTCACAATGAAAAAAAGTATTTTAAAAATAATTCTTTTTGGTTTTCTAGTCATTTACTCTATTATATCACACATCATAACAGCAACAACAAAATTCTATATAAGAAAGGAATACAATTTAGAAAAGCTAGGTGACCTATTTAAAATAGCACAAAAAGCTAAGACTAGAGCGAGGCTATGTCTATAAGTCACCTCTAATGATCAATTAATTATGTATAGCACAAGAGCTCTACATGATATAGAGGTAAAAATCTGATACCAAATTTGAGAAGTACCCCTATAAAGCTATGACTAAACTGAAAGCTGACACATTCACTTATCCCTCCTACTTCCGAAACCTGGTTAGAAATAGCAATAGCAGGAATGAGGGTCCCACTGAAGTGTGTTCATAAATATTAACTTGTTAAAAAAATTTTAAATGCAGCTGTGGCCTTCAAAAAGTAATTAATAAACTTCAAAATATTCTGGCTATTTTTTCTTAACAATGAAATGATTTTAAATTGTCTGATTTACATTTCACTACTGGAAGAAATTTAAATGACAAAAAGCCCTTCAAATATATTTGATTTCACTTAATAATAAGACTACTTTATTTCACTTTGTCCATGATGACAACATAATAAATAGGATCATCTTTAAGACAGGGTACATATTAATACCAGCTTTCTTCTCCTAAATAAAAGAATTTTTAAACTTAAATATGCACACAAATTTAAAAGCTTAAAATAAAAACAAATATTTAAATAATTTTTATATAATTAACTGTGAATTTTTATACATGACTGACTTTAAAGTAAATTCTCACCCACATTATTCTATATCACAAAGTAGTTTTATTTTAATGCATTAAATAATGCTTATAGTAAATTCTATTGCTTTCTAAAAAATATTGCAACTATGTTAATAGTCTCAAAATTCTCCTATGTGCTGAAGTACAAAATCATGAAATATAACATAGTCAGTATGTTTCCTCAGATTTTAAGGGATAACTTTACAGCATGAATGCAATTTCACATGTATTAGTGATTTCCTTAATAATATTAAATTCTAAAAATTAATAACTTTTAAATTGCCATAAGCACATATAATTATTTTCAGAGTAAAGTGACCAATATGATAACGTTTTAAACAAGAGAAGTAAAATAATGAACAGGGAGTGTGTACATTGAATAAAAACATTTTAAAATCTTAAGGGTTGTAGGAGGTGATGAGAGGTTAGACATGTTACATATGAGCCCCTATGGATGAATTGGAAGAGATATTAAAGTGAGATAAATTTCAGCTCAATTATAAAGAACAGTTAGTTAGGTAATGCTAAAACGTGCTATCTCAGATGATGCCTAGTCTCCAGCCAATAAAGGGAGTTAGTCATAATCTGGATGAAGGGTTGAGCAAAGTATGACTACAGCCTAATTCAGCCCACTACATGTTTTTATTATAAAGTTTTATTGCCCTGCTCATCCTAATTTTTTTCCATTTTAGCCTTAGCTGCTTTAGTACTGTATCAAAAATGTCGCATAAATGGAACAGAGACTGTATAACCCACAAATGTCAAAACATTTATTATTTGGTCCCTGACAGAAAATATTTTAAGGCAATAGGAATGCACGTACTGTATGGGAATTTGAACAAGATAACCAATTGGAAAATAATTATTAGGTGTTTAGGAAGTGCCCAACACATCATGTTTCAAAACTTAAATTATATGGATCCTTTACAGTATATGCCAGCATAATCAAGTTGATAAATAGAATGCAAAGTTCATACCACATTCTACCTTTATAGTTTTATGCTATGATGAGGGGTATGTGTGCCAGGAGTCACATTTGTCTTATATGTGCAAAGGAACCAAAAGACTAGTATAAGTGGCACAAGTTCATAACAAAAATTACATCTTCAATATCCCACAATACAAATATTCTATGGGTGAAAATAAGCTTTTTCACATTACATGTCTTTATTTACATCTCATGAAAATGAAAAAAAGTGTTCCCTAAAAAGAGTTTTTATATACCATGAAATATTCCTACAAACACTACCTGATGGTCTCCTTTACAAATTACTATATTGGCATATTAAAAATTAGCATACCAAAAATTCTGAAAACTAATGTCTTTTAAAAACAAACCAAAAGAGACCTATTTAAAATTAGTATACATAGCATTTCCTGGAGCTGTTCAACTGTGGAGCTTTTCCTTTATAACCCTACCATTAAAATCTCACATAACTAATGTTCTGGAGAATTATGCTCTATTCAAAGTAATTTATAGTATTTTTACATTACTAATTCCTTCAAGAGTAAAAAGTTACTTCTCTTTCACCACACACATATGATAAATACAGAGAAAAACTGAATTCATTTCATTGTAATAGATATAACTAATCCATGTTTTGCACACAGTTTTCTTAATTGAAGCAGACGTTAGTTACTTTACAGAGAAAGTTATCCTCTTTCCACAGAATCCATTTAGTTATTTAGTAGTACGATAGTAAAGAATCTTTTACAAGTATATTTGAATCATGTTCCTTCTGCTATGGTATATATTTAATGACATTAATACACATATTTAAGACAAGGTATATATTTTAAAGTCAAATAATTATAAACTATGTAGCATATTGCCAGGCTTAATAAGTTAAAAGTCAATAAAAACAAATTACCTGAAGAAGGTGACAAAAAACTGCACAAGATCCATGATCGTATTGTGTTGTGAGAATGCAATCTGAAAAATAAAAAAATAATAATAACCAAGCTTCAAATGTATTGAATCTAAGTTCTATAGCACCTGTGATGATGTTACACTGTATGTGTAAATGTAGCACTTCTAAATAACTCATAGATTTGGAATCAGCATATCAGATATAAGCTGGGGTTAAAATTTTATTTTAAATACCTACATATTCAACTACTAACAATGATCTTCGCATAGTTTCTGATGTTAATGTGGATAAGACTAACATAACTTCAAGAATGTGAGCTAACAGTCCCATGTAAAATGTTATGACACATTAAATGTGCCTAATTAAAACATGAAAATGAGTCTCTTCATCTAATAATCATATTTTCAAGTAATGCAACGGATAACTCCTTGTAAAAACAAAACAAAATAAAAATGCAACACCCTTACAAAATATTGAGGGGATTTTTTTCCCTCTACTTCACTGTCTAGAAAAAAGATATACATATGTAGAAATATTTGGTTATCTATTATCAAAGAATAAAAGTGTCACAACATTTTAAAATTTCAAATTAATAAAAATGAATTGAGAAAGGTGAAACTAGTAGAAAGCTGAAGTTGTTCTCCATCTCAGCTAACATTAGAGAGACCATGCTGCAGCCACTTTCCTTGAGGAAGTATTACACAGAGTACTGGGCAGAGTGAAGCATCTGAATAAAGAATAACTGAAAAGATACTTCATATACTAGCCATGGATATCTTTGAAAATTATATAATCTATAAGTTCAGGACCATCCCATTATTAGAACTTATAAAAGGGGAGAAGATGGAAAATGAAGCAAGATAAAAACAAAAGAATGATGTGTCAACACTGTAAAACTGCAGAGGAAAAGAAATGTTACAAGAAGAAAACGGTGGTCAGTTTCTGTAGGCTGAATATGATGAAACTGGAAATATAAATATTAGACTTGACAACATGAATCGCACAATTAAACAAGGGTGCTTATAGTGAAGTGATGAGGTTACTAATCTCACAGTTTCACATAAAGAGAGCGTACACAATGAAGTAGTGACAAACAGCCTGAACATTTTTATAAGGTCCATTTTAAGTAAGAGGAGCATAATAAGGAACACAGAGGATTTTAAAAATGCTTTTAACCCATAGAACATTTAGAAAACTAGTGATGTATGCAGTGCAGAGAAATTATTTAACATAGCCTTCCTTGGGATTATATTATAAAATCCAAATTAAATTAAATTAAAACTGTATTACAAATTTAACAAAAGCAAGCTTAACCACTAGAAAATTTTAAAAGGCAATTCCAGAGTTTTAGGTGGACAGCAACACTATCAACTATTTTTTTATATCCTTGATTCCCTACCCCCCCCAAAAAAAAAAACAGCAACGAGATTGCAAAACTAATAAATAAATAGCAATTTCAGCAAAATGGAAAAAATTATCCCTTTAAATGACAAAACATAAAAAGTACAATGCATACACACATACATTGTCTTACTTTTCTCCTTGCTGAGACAAAATACCCGACACCTAAATTTAAATGCAGAAAGGTTTATCTCAGCTCACAGTTTGTAGAGGTTTCAGTCCATAGTTTATTGACTCCAAGGCAGGGTGGCATAGCAAAGGGGCATCGCAGCAGAGAAGTAGTGTGTGGCTGCCAGAAAGCAGCAAAAGGAGCGAAGTAGCAAGAAGTAGCAAGCAGCGATGACAGCAGCCCTTCCTGTCCCTTCTATTCTATCCAGGATGGAGCACCTTTACGCTTAGCATACACCATTAATCCCAGCTTCATACACCCTACACCCAGACACTGGGATAAAGGCACAACCATGACACATGAGGCTACAGGGGAACATCTAGATACAAGCCATCACATACACAAAGCAGTGTCTATGTGGAAACAAGAAAATCCAAAAGTTCAAAGTGATATTCATTAGAACTTGACAGGCCCATTTTCACGTAGCCATGAAACAGAAGGGATTTTACTCAGTCCAAAACGAAGTAATGCCAAAAGTTCTTGAAGAGTTTTAAAGGGGGCTAGAAAAATTTGTAACACGTGAATTTTCAAAAGTAACCAATCAAATCTCTATTTCAGGAGAGCTCCTAAGGGAAAGAGAAACTGATAGATGTGAAAATCAAAATTAAGCAGCATGGGATGAAAACAAAGGAAAGATATTCCAAGGAAAGAGGAGAGAGTAACACAGTCAGGAAATCTTTATGAAGGAAAAATAAAACGTTTTTTTTTTTTTTCAAGCGCTGATCTTCCTTTGTGCACTGTCAATTTAATTCATTATTATCATTCTCAAATATCTGCCATTCATTGGCCGGGGATTTAGCTCAGTGGTTCCACCGCCTTCATTGCAAGCACAAGGACCCGAGTTCAATCACCAGTACAAAAAAAAAAAAAAAAAAAAAAAAAATCTGCCATTCCTTAACACATAAAGGATTTGGTATTCCTTAAATTTAATTGATGCATAAGCAGTAAGAATATCCAACAGCACTACAATAAATTTAGATGGGCAAAACACATAATGGGAGCTACAACAAAATTTTCTTATGGTTTCCTTGCCCTTCATGGGTCTTTATTATTTAAACTTAGGAAAAATATCATATTCTAAACTACATAAGCAAACCAAAAAATACATAAAATTATCCACAATTTTGCATATTTTTTCAAAGAATATTTGAATATATAAAGTAGAGAAGGACCTACAAACTATAGTTATGAAGTAAAACACTAAAAATAATATAAAATTTGAATTATTTATATGACCTATCTGTATCTACTAATAACAAAGTAAAAAAATTAATAGTATTCCCAAGGGATATAAATGCTATTTAGCTTTCAAGGATAAACTAGGTAGGATACCATTATTAAGAGATGACGGCACTTAAAACCTCCCATAATTAACATAATTTTCTATATTGCCATACTGTGCAGTTCCTCACAATTTAAATTGCAATATAAATCTTGAATATTGAAAAACCAATTGGAAGACCAGGATTTAGCTCAGTTACCCCATGCCTGCCTGGCAAGAGCAAGGTCTTGAGTTTGATCCCCATACTAAATAAACAAACAAATAAATAAATAAATAAATAAATAAATAAATAAAAGCAATACCAATTGGAGACCTTGTCCAACCTTTGTCACAGATAATACTATCCTACTTTTCAAAATTAGAAGGGTAATATGATAAACATGATAAGAGAGGGCTTTGTAAAAGTGACATCTGAAATATAGACCACTTTAAAAACTAAAGAAAGGGACACCTTGATGTAAATACTCTGTTACCAAATGATATTTAAGAATAAATATAGACTCAGCCTCAAATAAAATAGCTTTTCATGTTGGCTGTTCAACAGGAGAATCAGTGCTATATATTGTATAAATCTTTCAAAATGCTTCTTGAGACTCACTATAGAAAATTTGGTAAGAGACAATCTATAGAAAACCCTGCCTCAGTATATCATGAGACAAAAGTTCTAAAAAATAACATTGGACTGATTCTGGAAACATAAGGCAGATTTTAGGAAGATTTGGTAGAACCGATAAGCAAAGCCAAGTTGACACTGACTCAATCAGTCCCTTTCTCTGTGCTTTGAATATGTGGTTGGAAATAAAAAATCTCAAATTCGTATGCTGATGGTATTCAGAATGGATGTCTTTAGGAGGTAGTAAGTGTGAAAAGAGGTAATAAAGGTACAGCTCAAATGACAGGATGGATAGTTTTATAAGACAAGAAAGAGAAACCTGCGCTCACAAGCTTCCTCTTTTCAATGTTAGTTTCTTTGTTTGAAAATTTTTCAGAGATAAAAACATTGCCCTTTGTGGGGCTGGAAGTGACAGCTAACTCCTCTTGCCCTCCACCACTTTCTAATATACATATTCAAAATTAGTCCTAGCATACCTGCAAAAATAATTAAAGAATCCTGTATAGGATTTTACAATTCAAAAGAGCACACCAAGAAGTTTTTGCCTTTCACCAGAGCATGAAATCATGCTGAAAAGAGTATAAATGATAAATTAAAAGTGAAATGGAAGCCTAACATTAACACCATACACAGTATAGCTCCTCTCTTAGACTAGGGTGCTCTCATTTTAACTAATGCTTAGGGAAGAGTTAAAATTTCATTTAAGAGGATGCCTTGGGCTCAAGGTGTGTGGCACATTAGTAGAGCGCATACCTAACATACTTCGGGCACTGAATTTCATCCAAAATTAAAAAAGAAACGAAGATGCATTGGAAATTGGAAAAGCTACAAAGAAAGTCACCATGCCAAATGACTGTTTTAATAGATATAATTTTAAGACAGTGAAAATTGGATCAACTTAAGCCAACATATACATACTGATCTATTTCCCATTATGCTCTACATATAATTCATATATATTCAAAATCTAAAGTTTTGTATTGTTTATTATTTATCTTGACTCAATATAAATAGATCACAGATGTTTTAATTTTATTTTGGTTTCAATGGCCTATGCTTTAGGATTTTCATAAATATATGCCACTATCAATTTAATAATTATTTATATTATTTACTAGATTCTTGTATTTAACATCCTGGGCAATGATTCAAAGAAAATTAAATCATATAGCTATATTTAAAATTGCCTCAGTGATTGAGAGTATTAACTTATAGTATGTTTTCACTTATGCATATAATAATTGATATTTTCATTTATACTCTTAAATATCATTTTAAAATCTTACTAGTACATGTTTGCAGCACATAAATTTTACATTCATCTTAAGGAGTAGGTACATGTATATAACACATCTTCATTCTTTTTATCTCTCTTCCTCTCCCTACCCATTTTCCTCCTAATTCTAGATACCTTTACCCTATTTTCATTTTTATGGTTACTATTATTATTTTTTTAGTACATGTTTGCAATATAATGTTGACATTCACTGTAGGTATTTGGTGCATATACATGACACATCTTAAATCTTTTAGGTAACCTTCCCCTCCTAGCTTTACTTCACCTCTGTCTCTTGGACTCTTTCCCATTTTGCAATAG